CTTTGCGCATTGAAGCACTCAGCTATGCAGCAACTGCGACTGTTTGTCAGGTGACTTGTCATGGGCTCATGGTCGCTGCTTCGGCTATGCAAATTCCTGGTGTCGATGCAGCTTGCTATCAGCCAGGATGTGCTGCCAAGGCACTTGACAAGAGGCTGTCCACTTGAAAGTTGTAGGGGTCGATGCTTTGTGTTGCTAACCGCTCACTTGAATATTTCTCGAGTTGGCTTTCCTGATCCCAGGTTCCTTTTTTGCAAAGCGATTTTTTTGCATGCATGCGAATAGGACTTGGCTTCTATTTCCCGTGCTGGCACAATCATGTGAGTATGGATGGTTGCGGCCTGTGTCTTAGTGCCAGCACAGCTCGACATGGCACATCCCACCCCACAACGGTACCAACTTGGCAACCCGAAGCAGCAACAGCGTGTGGCTGCTGGCTATGGCGGGCCTCGTGAGCCTGTTCAGGCGGGAATCGGACGGAATCGTGGATTGAGAACGTTGAATAATCTTGACGCGAGTGCCGATGGAACCTTCTTAACTCTTTGAAGGCTTCTCCCCTTGAAAGGGCAGCCAACGGAAAAACGGGAACCTTCGCTAGTATCTTGGCAGCTGGGGCACTCGCAAGGTCATTTTTGTGACGTCAAGGGCGCGAAGCATCCGCAGCCAGCGGTTGTGCCAATTGCTGCAGGCCCTTGGCAAGCTTGGCGCCGCGATGTCTACAAGGCTTGGCGCCTGCTCCTGGGGAGCAACACCGGTCAGGACATATCACTATCCTCAAATAAGCCCGCAAAATTACTCAGGGATTGTCGAATATGTGTGGCGAGTTGCTGAGGGATAAGTGTGTGTGTGTGTGTCTTGCCCTCCCTCACTTTCAGAGATAGCATCATGTGGTGCATTAAAAACAACCTTTGTTTTGCCACGGCGTGCTCACAAGCGCTTGGTAACAGTTCTGTGTTGCAGGACTCACCGGCTGTAAGCTCGTTTTCTCAGCTCTTGGACAGCTTTGAGCACATGCAAATACAGAAATTGCCAGCTCCTGTTGGAGGTCAGTTCTGTAGTTGGGCAAACTTGACATGCTTGGTGCAAGGGCCTGGTTGCTCATTTTCTTTTCAGCTATACCAATTTGGGTATAATAGGTGGATAGCCTAGTGCGCAGACATGTGTCCAATTGTGTGACTGATTTGATCGGCATCGTTCTCTGCAGTGACTCCAGATTCGTTTGGTATGCGAACATTCGAAGCTCGAATGGTTTGCATGGTGTATTTACTGACTTGTCACTTTTCATATTGATCATATTTATAGGGTGGGGGGCCACTGCCATCATTGCCTTGGTGACGGAAGCTCTGTATTGCGCAGTTCCGAGAGCAACAAGTGATGCTTCACATTCTGATTTTGATTGGTATGAATGGTGCGGCTGCCTTCCCTCATCAGTGATTACTCAAGGTAGGCGAATTTTGAACGGGAGTTATTTTCTTTGCTTCCCTTCCTAGGTTTCCTGCGTTTGGCCAACGCCTAAGAGATGGTTGACACAGATTCAGAACGCAACGCCTTGGCTGGGCGGACGAAACGGTTGTCAAAAGTTGCAAGTGGAAGCCTTTTTGGATCTGGGAGCGAGTAGGTTGCTCAGACTGGTTTGGAGGCAGACTTCGCAGACAGGTACCAGGAGCTTTGCCACCGCAGCACCTCGCCTCTCCAAGGACGTTTGGCGGATTTCTGAGTGCCCTGGCAATATCGTACATTTTACTTCCATTTGCTTAAGAATAGTTTGTTTTTGTTCCCTTTGGTGTTGAAGGCAATCTATCACTGCGTGAATTATTTTTTCTCAGGAATCTTTACCAAATGGAAGTTTAGGGACTCAAACTCGGCCTTGGGCTATTGCCCTGACAATTTCCAACACATTCATTGTTGCTTGTGAATCTCGACGTCATGCAAGGGGCACGAATGCTGCTGGCTGGTTGCGAGTGCAAGCACAATCCTGCGTTGAATACTTCTTCATCCTGTCCCCCTGATAATAAAACGGTCCCCCCGCCCAATAAAAAGCGGGTCCCCCGCGGAAAAAAACTTGTTTTTAATAACATAGGGGAGCCCCCTGTTCGTTTTCGGAGAATCATACTCCCGGAGCTCCGGCTTGAAAGTCGCACCTTTGTAGTACAATCGTAGTAAAGGACACGTACTCGCCGGTCCCCCTAATAGGACTGGATTTGACCACGGGCGGGAAAATTCCTACTGTAGGATTGGTTTAGTATTGGCCTATTCTAAAAGTAGTATTCCCGGATTTTGGAGTCTCAAAATAAATTGCATTATCGGGGGGACCCTTATATGGCAATCCACTGTCATGAGCTCCATGCTGCTTCACACACTAGTTTGCTATTTGTTCAGCCCTTGTCATGCCTACGGTAATTTTCTGCTTTGCTTTCCAACAGGCTGATTTCACAGCATATTTGCTGTGACGTTGATCCTGTCCGCGCAGTTGTGAACCGCACGTGGGATGAAGAAGGAAACCTCTCAAGCCACGGCGCCTACATTGTTTGAGTATCTGAAGGATTTGCCGAGCCTGAGGGCAACAGAGGTGAGTGTATTAAGCACAGTATGCTTGATGTTTGAAGACGCGCATAGGACAAACAACTCTTTAACGGTGCATCGCTTTGACCTGTATCCCTTGGCATCGAAGAAGGCAGGCGGAAAAAATCCTCGGCCGCAGGAGGCAGAGAGTGCCCTGGGGTCCATCAAGGCTTGGGACTAGGGAGCCAGCAGCCGGGTTTTGGTTGCCACTGGCAGAACAACCACCTGACCTTGGCTGCTTTGATGGAGACCATGGAGACCTAATGGATTTTGAAAAAAATGAACAATTTGAGGACCTCAAGCCAAGTATGTGAAAGAGGGCTCGACGGCAACTGTTGAGTCAACTACTCCCAAAGTCGATACAGCTGAAAGCGGATTGGGCTGGTGCAAAGGCCTGCAACATGGAATCCAACTTTGTGTTGGCTTCATTGGGCAGTTGTTGCTGTTCGTGGCTTTTTTTGAAATAGTATTACCATTCCAGTCACGCCCAAGTTTGAAATTCTAGCCACGATTGCTTCAAGGCAGCACGATTTCAACCTGCAACTCTGTAGGCAGCGGTATTGATGTCGGACCTTCCGTCCCACTTTTGACCAGCCCAGCTGGCTTGGGTCAGGCCAACATGCAGCAACAGAAGAAGGCGAGAGACTCTTTCGCAACGCTGGTAATGGGAGGAGAGGGTAAGCGTCTCTTTTTGTTGCGTCCGGTTGTTGTTGTGCTGGGGTGAACCCCAGGACCGAAGGGCTTTGTTTCGCCATGCTAGTGAAGGCTACGAAGTATTGGCGGCGTCATGGTTTGGAGGGGCCGCCAACTCAATCGCAACGGGGCTGTGGGATTTGTTTAGGACTGCGGACAGGGCCATGGTTCAAAACCAATGGTACCATTTTGTAGGTGCACCACCCATTTTAGTCTATTTTAGCGGGGGTTGGGATGTTCACTGAAATTACGATTTGGCGTTTGACCCATGGCCATGTATGTTTTTTCACTATGAGGGGCCTGGGGTTGTCACTTCCAAGTTGGGTGGGGTGCTCTGCCATACCTTCAGACAGAGTCGCCCGAAGAGCCTGACAGCTGGAAGGCACCATTGGGCACATGGACCAGGCAGTTTCATACCAGGTAATTAGTTTCGTACCCGCTTGAGTCCCAGCAATTGGAAACTAGAGGAGCATGATTGAGCAAACCTTCATCCTGAAGCTGCCAGAGTCCTATGGAGTCTGATGGGCTAAGCTTATTGATCGCGCTTTATGGCGACATACATGTTGTTTTTTTGTGAGGGGAGGTTTGCGATCCATGATTCCCTGACAAATCAGTACAAGCACAGGCACAACTGAGCAGCTGCATCAAGTAGGCAGACCCCCACCCTTTGCAGGAACTGTGAAAGTCGGCAATCTTCAGTTGTGGTTTGATTTTTGGCGGCATTCTTTGGATGGCACATCGCGGGTGGTTAGTGGCTGCATGCGCTGACATGCAGATAATGTATCCAGGTAGCAGCGCTGGCAACTGAATACTTCTTGCTTCGCCAGGACGTTCAAAAGACCATGTGGGACTGATTCGGATTCTTGCAAATTTTGCAAACACAAAGTTGTTCCATCTTCCCAGGTGGGTGTGGCTCAAAAATTAAGCAGGAGGGGTTACGCAGGTTTTGGTCCATGTTTCCACTTACCAGGGTTCCATTTTGGTACCGGTTTTTTGAGCCGTAGCCAGGTGGAAGTTTTTCTAAGACCTGGAGATTTCAGATTCATAGAATTGAGGGCAAGTTGCTGGGCCTGGAGGTGACCCAGATCCATCTCTCCAAAGCTGCAAAGAAGAACTTTCCTGGCAACATTGGAAGGCGGGCTGGACACAGTTTGTTTCTTCTTTTTGTCCGACCAGTCCACTTTAGGATTCGCATGCTGCATTTGTGCTTGTGTGTCTGAGTGTTTCTTTGTTCCCATGTCAAGTTATTTGGCCTCAGCCGGGCCTGTTTGATGCACTCCGAATGCTATTCACTTGGCTTCAAGTTTTGAATTTGCGGGCTGCGCAGCAATTTTTCGGAATCGCGCCGCCTTGGAGATGGGATGGGGCAAGCTTGACTTTCAAAACCTTGGCATAGGGAATTTTTCAGAAGAGCAGTGTTAAGCATGAGACTGTCATGAGCCAAGGGTAAGGTCCTCGTTTGGCCGACTTCCCGGGCAGGAGCAAAAACCAAGCAAGGCGGTGGCTTTGTTACACTCCTGGACTTTGGGCTGGCTGTTAAGTTGCTTGGAGAGCTCTCACGAATTCCCAAAGTCAGAGTGGCTTGCACTTTTGGCTTTGCACTTGTCATGTCTACACAGTCCGCGCTTGATTACCCAATGGGGCCATAGTAAGGCGCAAGCAGGGGTGCATTGTCACAACACACGCCGGACACCCCACCAAGAATTGGCTATCAGCTCTCGATTGAACGCCCAGATCCACAGCCCAGACAAAAGGACGCACTTTGCTTCGCGTTCTTGGCCGCATGGCGGATGTGCTGCCGGAGGTGCAGGCAGTGCTCAAAGGCCACGGCAGCTTGCAGGATGCAGACCGCGCGCTGCAGGGTGCCTTCGAATCAAGACGTACTGACGCGCGCGCGATACTGGTTTCATAAAAGGCCTTGGGCTGCTGCTGTGACTGCGTGTCCCTGTAGGAATTGACGTGTTTAGGTATGAGATCATCGCTCTTCCTTGGTGGTTGAAGCTTGCGCCAGCTTGCGCCCCCATGTGCTGTAGGGCTTGCATTAGTGTTCGGCCATGCGTTTGGAAGTTAATGGTGCGGTCGGCTGGCTGATGCTGTTTGTGTTCGAAGTCATTTAGGGCGATTGTTTGTGTGGTTCTTGAGGTGACAAGTTGCTCCTGCGGATACTGAACAGGTTCTGCGTTTGTTCAAGTTTAATTTGGTGGCTGATTTTATCATACCTGCAGCGTCAAGCGGTCACATATTTTTGTTCAATTGGGACATGAACTACTTTTTTCTGGAAGTGGCCTTCAAAACCGGTTGTTGTCACAATCGAGCAGTTTTCTGAGAAACAACCACTTTTTGTTTAAACAAAAAAAAACAAAAAACATGAGTTTCCTACCTGTGAAGCATTTTCGGGGCAGCTGAGCCTGGCTCTAGGCACCGCCTAGCTTTGTTGCAAATCCTGAATTTCGTGCCGTAAAGAAGTGGAGCCAGCACAGGGACGGGAATTGGAAGCAAGAATTGGCCTTTGCATTGCGCCCCAAAAATGCCGCAACTCGGGCGCAAAAACCCGCAAAACGGACGCAACACCCCGCAAACGAACGCAAATCTCAAAAAGTGGTCAAATCTAGAATTGCAGGATCATACAAAACCAGCTCTGTTGCCTCATCAGCTGGCGAACCCCAGGGTTTCAATCCAGAAGTATTGTCCAGGTAGGGCAAACAGATCATCACCCACATGGCAAGCCAGTTGCGGGCCGTCCATGCAAAACAACAGCCTGCAAGGATAGCCACGACCCGTTTCCATAGAATCGGTCATTTTCTTTCCAACTCGGCCCAACCGGTCCATATTTGTTCAGTCGGCCAGAAAAAGTGTGACAAACCACATCGAGCAAAAATAAGTGTTCAGAAGGTGCAGGTATGTTATAATCTCCACCTGTTGGAGGGTAATACTGAGGGTGTCACTTTGAGCCGTTGTGCGCACATACGGCCGGCGAGGCAAGTTAAAGCATGATTTGAGTCCTAATCTTGACCCCATATTAATCAACCCCAGTTTATTAACAGGGGGCTGTCCGATTCTGGGTTTAGTGGGGGAATCAGACCACTTTTGGAGGGGCCCCCACCCTCTATATTGATGTTGATTCTGGGTTTTCTGAACGAAGCCTTCGGCCGAGGTGAGATCGACGAGGTGCTCCAGGCCTCTTTGTGCGCGGCTGTGAAGGCATCACACCAGCAGATGGTGCAGCTCTTGCTGCGGAGAAAGGCAGACGTGAATGCACAGGAGCAGGGTGCGGTGCTTAGAGTAGACTAGTCAAAATGGGTTTTCGCATTGGGGATTCGTGGTTAGTTGTTGTGATTCAGCGGGGACGCACTGCAGAAATCGGCAGATGCACTATTTGCCTCCAACCCTTTCCCAGAAGTGTGCCCAAATCGGGAGCTTCGCAGGACCAACGCGGCGTATCTGCCTTGCACCTCGCCGCCTTTGAGGGCCGGCAGCAAATTCTGCGGCTTTTGCTGTCCAGCAGGGCGCAGCCGAATTCTCAGGACATAGGCCGAAATCGAAGGTGTGCGGCTGCGCAAGCATGGCTCGCAACTTTGTGGCATGAACGACCATGAGCAACCAGGGATTCTGAAGCATTGATTAGGGTAGACTTATCAGGCGAATCTTTGTTATAGTTTGAGCAGTTTCGCCCGTACCTCGCGGCGAGCGTTGAGCGCAAACCCGCATTCCCACGAGTCGCCAGGACCGGCAAGGACAGACACCAATGTTCTTTGCAGCTACGCGGCAGACATGTGAGCTTTTGCTTGCCCACAAGGCTGAGGCAAGCAAACCCACGGGTTCATCCAGCATGAGACAATGTGCCACTGTTCGCAGTATATACATGTTTCAACACAACCCAACTCAGTTGTCGCAACCTACTGTGTACATAGCACAACATGTGTGGGAGGCCGTGATGTAAGTGTCAGTGCATCGCGACATCATGATTTGCTGGTTATGTTGTGCTCTTCCATGGGGGCCCTTTTCCTGCATTGCATGATTGAATGCGTTCATGACTTCCATGTTGTCGCTTGAACCTTCCCAGCAGGAAGACAGACGGTTGGAAGGAGGAAGGGAAATTGTCACGTAGGCGTTCACCCCCTTTTCAAAAACGACCTTCGCAGGAAGTGAATTCAGAAGTGTGCGGAGAAGGGCTACAACACGTTCCAGTGTCTCATTTCCTTTTCTGAACACTTGCAGCGCGGCCCAGCGCAAAGCAGTAATGTGGTGCCAGTGAACACTGAGAATCGAATGGCAGCCAAACGCTCACGAGTTGCTCCGCGCTCTCAGCGAGCACTCGGGGAAGAGGGGGTTGTCTTTAGGGTGGTTAACACTATCATGAAGTGAACGCAAGGAACAACACATGCTTCAGATCGGGCCAGTTGTTCAATGCGTTTAGCCAGCGCAGCTGAAGAAAGCCCAAGGGCCTACAGGCCTTCCAACAGACCACAGCATGGGTCTTTATCAACATAGGCGACCCCGCCACGTGCTCACGTCCCCCTGGTGGTTTCCATTGAGAGTCCCGAAAAAGGAACCCTGAGCAAGGTCTTTGTTTGATGCTGCAAGTGCCCCCTTTTGAGGTGGGTTTAAAGGCACACACACACACACACACACCTTTGGGGGTTCCGATTCCTCCCTGAAGGTGGACATTTGTAATGCCAAGCGGCAGACTGCGCTGCACTTCTTGGCACATGCTGGTTTGCATGATGCCATCCTTTGCTTGCTGGAGGCAGGAACCAAACCCACCTAGGGGCGGTGCCTTGCTACAGAACATGTGTGCGTTTGTGGTTTCCCATGGGTACCCTTTTCATGTTGGGGTAAAGGGGGACCAAATCGAAACTCACGCTTTTGTACACCAGAAAGGACCAGCATCCATGTCAGAAAGGTGGATGCACATTGATTTCGGGATGTGTATCTGTAAGAGAAAGCTCGTATCATACAGCCTCCATTTTGACGAGCTGCGGGGGAGAGGGAAGTCGAGCGCGACATAGCACGTTGCCTTGTCAAACGGGCTCGCGATTCCAATCCTGAGAGGCCCTTGCAGGTACAACAGGGCAAGGCAGGGGTGCTTAGGTGATAGACTGCTTCAAAGCATGTGTGCAAGACAAGAGGCAGTAGCTTGAGTGAAACGTCAATTGGAAGCGCCTTTTGGAGTGTTCCCTGTATTGGGGGGGCACCATCGCAATGTTTGGTTTTCTCTCGAATTCGGAGGCAAGCCACATGGAGGTTGTGAATGGCACCAAATCGACCATGGGTAACTTGTCCCGATTCGTGGAACAGATCATCTTCTTCGGTGGTTTCCCTGGTCCCAGGTCAATGGCCTTAAGCGATCACCATGGCTTTCAGGTCTTCCACGTCTCCGCCTTGGACCTCCAGGACGGTCAAGGCCGTACTCCCCTTTGGTACGCTGCACGCTCAAAGGTGGCCTCCATTGCCGGCCTGCTGCAGAGCCACTCGCAAAGAGAAGGGGTGAAGCAAGATTTCCTTTAAACATACCCTCCCACCAGCTAACATGGAAGTGCACAGACCCCTGTAGAACGACTACTTTCCTCTTGGAAAGCGCCTTTTAGCACTTGTTAGTTGGTGGGAGGGTATCCCGCGATTCCCTTTAAATATATCCTTAAGCAAATGGAAGTAGTGGATAACCAACATTTGGGGCTTGATCAATATTCCATTCCGGGCCCTCAGTTTTGACCATGGATAGCATGTGTTCCATTCAGTGGGAGATATGTCATTTTTTCCCAAAGGTCGCCCCGGGACCTTTTCATCAGCCACCAAATCGAAAGAATCCAAGCACTGGCATGTGTGAGGGATCCCCAAAATACTCCGCCTCAAGGACATGTGTTCGGGTGGAATAGAGCGAACACCCTGTAAAACGAAGGCGACCCGTTAAAACGAAGCCTCCAGAGATATGTCAATTTTGCACTCTCTTTTGTTGGAGATACTTCATGTGGTTGAAAATGTTAAGACGGACCAAGCAGCAACTGGCCCTTGCTCATGCGAGCAAGTTCGCCAGATGATTCTGTGATCAAATTGAGCAGCAAACATGAACGTGCTTTGTCCAACGCGGATCTGAGGTAAGAGGCAGGAGATTCAGGAACGCAATGAGGACCACGCGCACCCGGAGAAGGTGCAAGAAGCGGAGGTGCCTCGCAAAGACGCCTCCGAATCAGCGACAGCTCCAGTGCCTCCCGCGGCCCAAGCTGAAGAGGCAGCGAAAACAAATGAAGAAGCACAAGTTGAAGAGGCCGTATCTCAACCCGAGCCGGCCGAAACAGAAGCGCTGGAGTCGACCATGGTTCCAAAGATCCATGTGGAGAAGGTGGAAGCCACCCTAGACGCTCAAGATGCAGAGTCAGAGCCTCCAACGCCGCAGACAAAGTGTCCAGAGGGTCATGACTTGATGGCCTTTGAGACGCCTGAGGAAGGATACTTATGCAGCGTGTGTGAATGCGAATTTTCCATGGGCACAACTCTCTATGGATGTCGGCCCTGCGACTACGATCTTTGCAGGGACTGTGTGGGCAACGTTGCCGTACATTCCACCGGTTTCCGCAAGGACTCCGTTGTTGACATGGCAGCGTTTTTGTTTGGTGAAAGCAATGTCTCTCTTTGCTACATAGGTTTGTAATTACGTGTATTATTGGCAAGCAGGCTGGCAGGACAAGCTACGCTTTGCACCAGCCCAAGTGTGGGAAAGTCTGTCGTGCTCAGAAGCATGAACCTCGACGTGCCTGATGCACACACACACACATAGTTCGGCACGTACTGTGAGCCCCCGGGAGCATTTCAGCTGGGACACCTACAGCGTGGTCAATTGCTACACATAATGTATTTTGGTTTTACAAGGCGTCAATTTGAACAGAGCCAGAAGCAGCGACGGGCCATACATAGCACCTTCGCAATCTGACTATATTTGCAGGCAACAGCTGGCCCTTGGTCAAAGCACATGGGAATGCGGGGGCCAATGAGTCTGGTTGCTTCGGGGCCCCGTCCCCTTCCTTGGCCTCAAATTTTGCAGCTTGGTTTCCAGCTCAGGTTCGGAATTTTGGCGTGGTTCGCGCTTAACCTTATGTTGTCTTTAAGCAACCCGCCCGTTCTGCGCAGAGTGGACCGGTAGCCTGGTATGGACTCGTCGTTGACTGGAGAGCTGGCAGGACTTTGTGGCAGTGTTCCCTGAGCTCCAAGACTTCTCCGGCTTCGGGGACAGCGGCAAGTCACTGCTGCAAGGCCTGCGGGGCTCTGCGGGTTTTAGCTTCGTGGAGGCTTGCACAGGGTTGCGCGAGCCTACGTAAGGGCGGTTGTGCTGTTTTGCGAGTCCGCAAAATTAGCGCGCACAACTTTATCGCTTCCAGCCGCAAGCATGGATGTTGCGGACTGAGCACGGTTGTTTTCGCCATGACAAAGAGACAATTTATGTCCATTCATACGAATCATTTTTTAGCGGCGGCAGAATATTGTAATTAGCTAGCTGAACTCACATGTCAGCTTGCAAAACCACGTGGACCCTTTCTTCTATCCGAAGCGGAAACAGTTGTCCCCGCAGCTCCGTAGGTGAATAAAAACTGTATTTCAACTTGCCCTTGTCCATGTGCATGTTCCAGCCAGAACAAGACACACGGAAATGAGAGTCGCTATTGAGCTGTGTGCCATCAGGGCACTGGGCCCTTGAAGCAGTGACATTTGCATGCGGCATGCCACGCAGGAAGCCAAGTCCTGAGATCGCAAGTTTTAGAGACCTGATTATTTGGGTGAGTTGAGGCGAATGTTGCTTGGATATCGATTTTTGCAACCTGTTTCTTTATTCATTTGCTGTGAGGGTTGCCTAAGTCAGTCACCAGACATCAGCGGCTTTTGCTCCAGGCACCGGGGAACAGGTGGACACGCCCTCCGCATCAGAGACCGACTCCTTCCTATCTCAGCAGGCCTTTGCAGACGAGGCACAGCAACAGATCGAGGAGGAGAACGGATGTCTCTACTGGCTGCCTGACTAACAAATCATTTGCCGGAAGCTAGGGGGTAGATATGGGGTAAGTGTGGATAAGGGGATTTAACCTTCTATTTCCAGGTCCCCCGGGTCCTTTGGGCAAGTGGGGGATGATTAGACCATGGGATCTCTACTTGGATGTTTTTCAGAACTTGGTACCCTTTCTCAGCTTAAATCATTGTTGAGTGAAAGATCCCCGTAGATGCGGGTAGCGGGTCGGTAAATTGTGTGTGTGTGTGTGTGTGTGTGTGTGTGTGTGTGTGTGTGTGTGTGTGTGTGTGTGTGTGTGTGTGTGTGTGTGTGTGTTTGTTTGTTTGTTTGTTTGTTTGTTTGTTTGTTTGTTTGTTTGTTTGTTTATGTGTGTGTGTGTGTTTGTGTGTCTGGGTGTTTTTGAGATTTTGAGGACGCCCTTTTTCAGCTTAATGAAGGATGCCGCACTTCCCGGTAGACGTTTGGTTGCATGTTTTTGAGAGTGCGCCCCTTTTTCAGCCTATTTGTAAAAGGACCCCAAAGGGAAAACCACACTTTTGAGGCTGACCCTGCTTTGACACATACGCATTTGGTGCTGCTCCGGTACCGGTGCTGCTTTCCAATGATTGGCTTTAGTGTGTGTTTGCCATGCCGTTTCGGCCCCAACATTTGTACTTCATTCCACCTTTGGCTTGCGCGAACCCTTGCATCGTGAGCATCATCACTGCTCCCTGGTGTTTGTCTCCAACTGATGTGTTAGTCCAGGACTCCAGGGAAACCGACACTCACCCCTGCAAGCAATATGCAGTTTGCTTGCTGCCTGATTCCGATAAAACGTGTTGGCTTTTAACATTTCCAGTGATGGCCTATTCGCTTCACGAATTTTGTGGGGGTGTTTGGGCAGGTAGTAGGCCGCATCAACCGTTGTCTTGTCGTAGCCTTTGTCAGCCAGTTGCATGACTTGGCCTGCTGAGGCAAGTTCTCCTGAAAAAGAGCAGTGAGGACGACAAATATGGCTTTGCCCAGGCTGGAAGCACGCTGAAGACCTTATGAAGAGCTGATGTGTCTGAATGCCACGCCGGGAAGTGCTTCAGCTAGGCGCTTGTTTATTTTTTCTGTTTGTTTCTGCCGGCGCTGATGCCGTGCCAGGTTCATGTAAAGGCCTCATTGAGGGCCAGGAAGGGATGACTAGAGAGTGCAACTTTCGGCTTGTTGCGTTTTGAGCACTCCTGGCACGTACTGGCTATGAGCACAAAAAGCAAGCAAAGGTAGATGATGGAGTCACAGGTGTCCTTTTTGGTTGGTTTGCTTACAAAATAGCGGGCCCTGGTTTAGATGGGGTTTGTTCCACTTACCAGGGCCATCTATTTTTCCAAAAGGCCACCTATGGATCCACCTATTGATGGAGTCAGACTGGGTCGAAGGTTACATGTACTCCCTCAATGCAACCGGCCGCCGGGCACCGCAGCGCCATCGGCAGGCCAATGGCAAGGCGGACTTTGAGCGCTGCCTCGGGTACAAGGACTGCTCGAATGACTGAGACATCGCAGCATTCTGAAGCCGGCCATGTGGCGCGTGGCTGTCAAAAATAGGTCCTGCGGTCCAATTCACACCCATGTGTGCATGCTGTATCTCTGATGGTTTTCGAGTAGCATGCCACGGTAACTTCACATATAGATTCGGGCTAGCTCACAGCTTGCTCAAGACTTGCAGACCTGGTTTCCGAGTTGTACTCGGCCAAAGTGTTCGGACGCTTGAAGCAATGTATCCCCAACCCTCTCCAAGTCCCCGACTTAATTTGCTTCTTCTCCCCTCAACTGGCCGGCAAGCGGGCCTTCGCAAGGTCAGGGTTTGTGAGCATAGTGAGGATGGCAACAAGAAGTCCAAGGTGCCGCGTCTGGAGGGTCCACAGATGCTGGTGGTCGCTCAGCTCCATCACAATATGTGCTTGCCACCAGAAGCATTGCTGTTCAGGAGGGGAGTGACTGGCAGATGCTTGATAATTGTTGCACACGTCACCGCGTTACTCCGTATTGGTATTGAGAGTTGGCTTCGATCTGATGTACTACTTTGGTTCCACAACGGCTGGCCCAAGATGTTCTGATCTGAGGTTGGATCCTGCCTGCGCCCACAAGCAGTGAATGAAGAAGAACTGGATCAACCGCCACTAAAACGGTCAAGGCTAGCAGGATCACATGTTATAAATCGAACTCGGTTTCCCGAACAGGCAAAATTATAAGTAAACATATCAGACCAAGCCACCCAACTGTTGCCTAGGAACGGCACATGACTATGAACCATCCAAGACAAGAAAACAAAAAGAGTGGGGTTCAACTCGGGTAATGGCTTGGACAAAGCGCAGAAAGATCCCTGAGATGGCCTTGTCAGGGCTGCAGCTGGAAGCGAAGCATTACAGCACAGCATGTAGTATTCTATTATCATTGTTATTAGGTCCCCCAGTAGTGCCCTTTTACCCTTTTTTGGGGGAGGGTTCCCCTAATTACTAAAATAGACTACAATAAAAAAGGGTACCCTTATTCTAACCTCTCTACTGGAGGACCTAGATGTTGTAAAATGATAGTGTTACAGTAGTGGATATAATACATCATTATGTTCTCATATAGCGATGATATGGCGTGATGTAGACCGCGCTGGGCACGTTTCCCTCGCTCAGGTGAAGCGCGTCTATCCGGGAGGCCTTTTGTCCAGGTGGAACGATCGGGTGCCGCAACTGGAGGTGAAGCCACACGACCGCGTCGTGGCGGTAAACGACAAGACCACAGCGGAGGGTATGGGGACGGAGGCCGGGTTTCGGCCATTTACAGTTGGGTGGCACATGGCACAATTCTAATCCATTTTGGTTGAGTCATCCCCTGCACTTCCCTGCATGATGGGAATTGTGCCATAGCTGCTTTAGTGTGTGTGTGTGTGTCATTGAAGAGGGCTGAGAGAATAGTTTTTGCTGAGTGAATCCAAGTGGCTAGATTGGGTGAGGAGGGAGCGTTCGCCTAAAAGGCGAGTACAGATGATGGGAATTGAACAGGAAGAACAAGTTTTGTGCATGAGAGGATTGGTTGATAAGGGTGAATCAAGATGCTCAATGATCAGACTTGACGGGGAAGAAGCAAGCATCATGATAGAGTGAACAGAAACTACTTCGGGCGAATTCGTGCCTGGGATAGTGGAGGCAAGTATCATTATAGAGTAGCTTAGCATCATCAAAGCTACAAGCTGGACGCTGGAAACGTGCCCTGCACTTTACCAACCAACAACACCTGTGCTTCAAGCGTTACAGTTTCTGAAAGACATCCAGCCCCTTTTCCGCCATATATTTCACACAGGGTGACCACAGCTAAACTGAGCGGCAAAAATCAAGGCAGCGAAATGGAATTGGTTGTTACTTCATTCAGATCCAGGCGGCACTCATAGATTATTGTTGCATCACTCTGGTCAAAGACCGTAAACCGCGGGTGCTGAAGCATTGAGATTTGTCCAGAGAGGGTGGCAACTATGCATTCATTCATGCAATGTGTGTCGTGAAAGGCTTCTTGGATTGAGCCTGTGTTATAGGTTTGGTTGCTCCAGCGGAGTCGGGGCAGAGGGCTTCCAGCCAGCCTGAGGTGCATGCGCCCCGGATCTTTTTGCAATTGATGAGGCGGGACTGGGCGGCCGACCGCAGCGGACAGAACTGATGGTGTTTGAGATGGGGTGGGCTTGGTCAAGCTTTGGGATCATACATTGCCCATTGGCTAAGATAAATGAACAAAGAGAAGAGGGTCAGGGTTGAAGATGGTTGAACCTTCAGTTTGGGCCGAGAAGGCCTTGTGCTTTTTTCGCTGCAGCGATTTTCTGCCTTTGGCACGTGCGATCCTCCTCATCAAGCTTCAAAGTTACCACGATCGGAAGGTATTGATCGATTCGTTCTTGCAGCGAACGGGACAACTACAGTGTCAGACGGTTGCTTGCGGAAAGCCCCGTATTTGCTTTTTGCAAGGAGGCACTAGCGTCCTAGCGTATAACAAGTCCATCGGATGGGTGCAAGTATCTTTTTTTGGGCAGCCAAAACTGGGTTACGGTGATCTTACAGGGGCTCACCCACCAACCGGATCCAGCAGGTTTTGTATCTTCGTTCCCGGGGCTTTGAGAAAACTTCGGCTCGAGCTCAGGTTTCCGGACCGTTTCATCGTGGCCCTCAGCAAGGAGAACGGCCGACGCCTGGGCTTCCGCTTCGAGCGGCCCCAGGGCAGCTTTGCCGAGGCTGCGCGTCTGTCCATGTCGAGGGCGTGTTTTTTTCTTTTTTGGTTTTGGCCGTGGAAAGGCATGGCCACCTTGACCCCTGCAGGGACCCAATTCTTGACCCAATTCTGACCAAAGATTTGAAGGGATCAAATTGGTTGAACACGGACATCGATTCGATGCTTCGAGCTTTGATGGTTCGTGAGATACATAGTCACACTGATACTGGCAGCGCCGTCGAGTATGTCAATGGGGAAGTATAGTTCTCCACCAACAGCTTGCGAACAGCGTGATAACGCTATGGGTTGAATGTTGGACATGCGCGTAGCGGTGCTTTTACAGATCAAGGTGCCTTGCTTAAATAGTCATGAGTCGTGTGCCCATGAATGCCCATGACTTCTGAACACAAGCCCGTTTGCTTCCCGCAGGAGGTGCGAATCACAGAGATTCTGGACGAGGGAGCCTCTTGGACTTGCACTGTGGTTCCGTAAGTCGCTTAGTCGGATTCCCCCTCAAGGGCAACCACTAAGAGAGCTGATATTGAGATGGCCCTTTTTCATAATGATTGATTCACCGATAGCAGGCTAGTGCCGATGCAAGCCTGGGCTGGGTCAGCCTAGGTCCTGATGACGTACAACCAGCACCAGGTCAGTCAGAACCGCTGCTTGCTTTATTTTGACCAGTCACAACCCCTTGCGTTACTTTCCATGGGAGCCTTTTTAAAAGCTTATGGCACCATTATTGCGTACCCTTCTAATCTGATCTCTTCCCACTTGCTGAATTGACATACGTCCTTGCAAGATCCCAACATTGGCGGAGCCTGGTTGCATGTTGCCATGTGAGCCTTGTGGGCCTTGTGGGCCTTGGCACGGCATGCGTTCGACTGAGGCTACGCCTTCGTGGTGCTGCCGGACATGCGCGTAGATCGTGTGAACGACGTTTGGGGCAACGCCGATGCTCGCTCGCACGAATGATATGGGGCCAACGCTTGACGAAGTCCGCCTCTCCCGTGTTTCGTTGCGGCAGGAGACACGCCTGTCCACAGCCACGCCAGCTAGAACCCATTGTTCGTTGATGGATGTAAGTCAGTCATTTGCTTCAATGATCTTCAAGGAGCTTCAAGTAAATCACAATTTTCGCTCGGAGATCTCCAGTTCATAATTACAAGTCGGTCATCGGCCAGCTCTTTTGCAAGCCCAGTCCAGCCAGCCACTGAGTAACTGTACTGCAGCAAAGGCGCACTCAGTTTTCCAAGGAGCACATCGCTGAAGAGCTTAAGACGGCCACCAACGTCGAGTTGCACATCCGCCGAGCAGAGTACTTCTCCTCGCCCTCCAACTGAGATGAACGCTGTGGCTTCTTGATTGATGCTTTTGTGTTTCTGGGTTTCTAGTTTCACACGCGCAAGGGCGCCGAACGGCACTTGCAAGATCAGGCGCCTCAGTGGCTCAATCCAAATCTCCTGAAGGAGAATTGGAGAGTTGCGGAAGAAGCAGCAGAAAGGCATTCTTTGTTATCCAGCTCCTTACCAAGGAATCCGTCTTGCAGGGGCCAGCTTTCAACCATCACTGTTTTGTTATGAAAGGGCTTTGCTTTTTGCAGGATTCTGGATGTCGGGCTTCCTAAGGGAATGGAAAGCCAGATTCTGTGCATTGAAGGCAATTCTGCAGCCTTGCCAGGTATCAGCATAAGGGAGGGCGACCTGAGTTTCATAATGCTTGGGGCCCAGTAAGCAGACCAGTGCTGCACCAGCGGCAGGTTCCCAGCACGAGCAGCACCAGCACGAGCAGCACCAGCACCAGCAGCACCAGCACCAACACCCGCACCAGCACCAGAAGCAGCAGCAGCAGAAGCAGCAGCAGCAGCAGCAGCAGCAGCAGCAGCAGCAGCAGCAGCAGCAGCAGCAGCAGCAGCAGCAGCAGCAGCAGCAGCAGCACCAGCAGCAGCAGCAGCAGCAGCAGCAGCAGCAGCAGCAGCAGCAGCAGCAGCAGCAGCAGCAGCAGCAGCCGCAAGAAGAGCGAGGAGAGTGATGGCTTAGGCTGCATGACATGAACTTTGTAATGTTTGCTGAGCAACAGTCGCGCCCTCCGCCCCCTCTACGCTGACGGTATTCTCTCCACATTATTCTATCTAGGGAGTCAGTGTTTTTGCCACTGCCCAGATGGATCGCAACCGATACGGGCGGCTTTTCGAGCTCGGCCCTCAGGCTTAGGAGTACGTTGCATGTTGGGGGCTTTGATGTGATGGACATCCAACTCAGCAACTGAGGCCGTGGCATAACTTTGAAATTATGATCACGCGCGCTTCTCAGACCTCTGTGGCATTAGTTTATTCCAGCTGGCATAACTTGATACGCCGGAAGAAGCTGCGCTGTTGTCCAGCAGCTAAGGTCTTCAAAGAACAACTGCTGGGTCACAGTGAAGAACAAGAGCTTTGGCCTGAGGGTGCGAGCAAAAGTGTTTTGCAAGAACTGCCGTGATTTCAATTGGCAACGCTCCACTTGCTGGCAGCTCGAAGAATGATGCGTCGGCATCACGCAACATTGACCGAAAAAAGGTCAAGCATTTCAAGAGGAAACTGTTGCAGCATGCAGTGAACAAGATTTCTGCATACGACTTGGGCGACTTAACTAGTCCAGTGTCAGTTTCTATTCATCCCAGAGTTGCATCGTCGCACGTTGGATGCTGGAGGCTGGCAACACCGAACAGTGTTCACTTCTCATGCCGGGAATGTGGGCTTCCGCAAGGTCGCTGACTCAGACACATCATGTGTTGCAGTCTTACGGCCTGGCGCAGATACAGGGCACACCGGATTGTTCGGAGCCGTGTCCGTGTCACCTGCATTGCTTCCCTTAAGTCAGGCTGAGATAATTGATATTCCCGATCACTACGCGACCTTAGGGCCTTGCAATGATAGATTAGGTTCACGATTGTGTTAACCATTGTGTGCCCAAAGGCTTAGGACTCAGACTTTTGCTTTTGGCCTTGCTTGGCTGAAGCGTTGAAAGGCATGGCAGCATGCAGCATGGAGCTTTTACCTTGTGAGGGGAGAACCTGTGCTTCCTACGGGCTGAAGCCCGCTGCGTTTCCATGCCCAGGGCATGCGGAAGGTTGAGCAGGCGACCTATGCCGTGGCCGGGGAGCTCAGCATCGCCTCGGCAATGTGATGGGTCAGCTCTTCAGAAGGTGCATTTCAAGGGCACTGAGAGTTTCTTTTGTAGCGCCGCGTAGGCCGCAGAGGCTTCTTTGCGTAGGAACTGCCTCCGCGCAGGCTCGCGTAGGCTTCCACGGAGTTCCCCTTTTCATGTACCAAAAACATAGTTGCTCATTTGTATTAAGCAGAACTAGAGCGCGAAGGGTTTCGCATGGCAACACGCAGGCAAGGAGCTCTCAGGAGCTGAGCCGTTTTTCTCTCCCAGGGCCTGAACATTGCCCGCAAGCTCAAGCGCTTGGGCCATGGCCTCAAGGAGCATGACTTGAGGAGACGTGTCGCTGTTGCAGATTGCTTGTCGCGTTTGTTTTTTTGGGAATATATTTGTTGGGTGGATTCGCAATTGTATGAATGTGCTGGCCATGGCAGCTGGATGACTCTTTGTTCTGCCCTTTTCAGCTACATGTTGCCAGCTTCAGCCAAGAGAAGCTGCAGAGTCAGGCGTGACATGTGCAGAAGTACACTTCAGACGTCTCATGAAGGCGGGCGAGCACTTTGAATGGCGTGTGATCTGTGAGACATCTTGCAGCCCATGCAGCCACAGGCCACTTTTACCATGGAACCGTTGGCTAGGGGAGGTTGATTCATGACAGCGTTGTCCCCAGCTAAAATGAGATGGTGGCTACAGACACTCGTTGGCCTTTAGCCGCCAAGATATGAGCAGGATTGCCAACGATAGGTCCAGAAGCTGCATGGATCATTGGAACATGGCCAAAAAAAATCCCCTGCCCTCGTTTGCATTCTCTGATCCAGCCGTTTGTTCCACTGGCTTGGTGCGCAGTGCCCTGGTGTGCACAAGACCGGGCTGGCTTTCAGGTGGAAACATGCCTTCAAGCCTTCCAGAACGTCGGATTGCAGGCGGGGGTCTTTTCAGGTTGACAGGGGCAAACTGTTACAAGCCGTTGGTCCTAGGCTTGCATGGTGTTGTTTTTCTTTTTTTTTTCTCCCACCGCCCTTTGATCGGTGGGCGTGTTGGCTTTCAAAATTATGGATTTAAGCTAATTTCGAGGTCCGACCCGTGCACTTAAGCCCTGCTCCTGTGTCTGCACCTCTGATCGGAGCACATGTCAGAACCGGGACACGGTTTAATGTTTGTTTTTGTTTTTGGGCACTCGTGAAAACAATGCCAAAACCGGCTGCGCTTTAGAAAGTGCATTTGGCAGCAACAATGGATGCAAACGCCTTCGTCAAAGCAATTCACTACTGGAAGGGCAGCCTGTCAAATCCTGTGGGGTCACTGCGTTGCGTTTTTTTTTTTATGCTGAATTACCCGGGGGGCAAAATCGCTGAGTCAATAAATCCTTAAACAATATGGGCCCGTGCACTTGAGAGTCGGCCCGTTTTCTGAAACCACGGAACTTTGCTTATTTTCAGAATTTGCAAGATTCGGTGGCTCTTTGTGTGACAAGAGCAATTTTTGTTGAAACATTGAGCAACCTTAGCATGGTGGGACCGAGCCGTGTCGCAATCAAAAACGTCGCATGTCAGAAGTGCACAATGTTGTTGTTTTTCGCCGTGGTGGCACATATTGCCAAATGGGGAGCGATGGCAAGGATTAGGGGGAATGCATGGATGATGGTTGATAGTTTATAGCTTAGAGTGAAGGCCGTGAGAATGGGGCTCAGTTCAGCGCGAAGCATATGGAGATGGTGCTGTAGTCAGGGCAGCTAGTAATCAAGGGGGAGCTCCTGCCTTGATCACCGGGCCACATTCCATAAGCACGGCCAGCCAAGAATGTTAGTGCAGCCAAATTCCGTTGAGTGCAGACGAATTTCCTTTAGCGCGTGCAGTAAAAATGTTGTGGTGCAGCCGGAAATTCCTCATGTGCAGCCAAAGTTCCTTAAGTGCACCCCCCCCCCCCCGAATTTAAGCTAATTAGCCGGCAGCCAAAATTCCTTAAGTGCAGCCAAAGTTCCTTGAGTGCAGCCAACATTTCTTGGAAATGTTCGGTGCAGCCAAAGTTCCTTAAGTGCAGCCAAAATTCCTTAAGTCCCGGAAAAAATCCTTAAGTCCGGAAAATCCTTAATTCATTCCCGCCGACCGGCAATTTTCCGGAAAAAAACCTTAATTCCTGATTAATTAGCTTAAATTCAGGGGGGGGGGTGAACTTAAGGATTTTTGCTTTTGCCCGAGATGAAGTTCGGGGTGAAATTAGTGTTTTTCAAGCTACAAAACGTTATTTTGGCAATGAAAAACACTAATTTCACCTCGAACTTCATCTCGGGCAAAGGCAAAAATCCTTAAGTTCACCCCCCCCCCTGAACTTAAGCTAATTAATCCGGAATTAAGGATTTTTTTGGACTTAAGGAATTTTAGCGGGAATGAATTAAGGATTTTTCCGGAATTCATGATTTTTCCGGACTTAAGGATTTTTTTCCGGGACTTAGGGAATTTTGGCTGCACCGAAGGAATTTTGGCTGCACTTAAATGTTGGCTGCACTTGGGGAGTTTTGGCTGCACTTAAGCAACTTTTGCTGCCGGTTAATAGCTTAAATTTGGGTGGTGCGCTTAAGGAGTTTGATCCGCCCTTTAGCCGCACTGAAGGCATCTTGGTTGAGCCTTGCGCTAAACTGTTGTTGGCTGTGCCGAAGTAAAAGTCACTTACGCTGCGGCGTATGTTGAATCTCAAGCCGGCAGAGCAAAAGTTGTGAGAATGCTGGTCTCGCAGTAAAGGCAAGCCGAATAAATGCTTGCGTGACAGTAGCAATTTGCACCGTCTCTTGATACATGGGCTCAGTTGTTGATGTTCCCATTCACCTCAGTTCCACCTTACGCCACTTTGTTTGATGTATGGGCCTGCCTTTTTTGACCTTGAAACACGTGAGTACATGTTTATTTGATATTGGGCCTTGCTGCAGTGAATTGTTTGGATCCATGGGTGTTTCCGTGGGGGTTCTGACGAAGGCTGGCGCTGAAACTGGGGTATGTGCTGTGTTTTTCATTGCTGACATCGCCAAATCCAGAAAACATGTCTATCCTCACCAATTGTTCACACCCTGCTTCAATCGGGCTAAACGCGCCAGAAACGTGCTTAAGTGCAGCGGGCGACCTTGAGAATTAGCTTACATCCATAATTTGCCCCCCACAAACTGATTCCTCAAATGGTCTGGTCTGAATGCCACTGTGGTTTGCTCTGGCTATACTGATTTTGCTCTGGTTTGCAACATGTGTGATCTGAGTCAGAAAATGCAAAAAAAAAAAACTTTCGCCGGGTGTGAGTCTCAAACGCTCCAACAAGGCAATGACATCAAGTCCGGATTTTGAATTGTTCCAAAAATAAATTGCCTTT